CAGTCGCTCTTTCACAAACGTTTTAACAACGAACATTAACTTCAACAATACTTCCTGATTGCAGTTCAATTACTCACTACCTACACACACTGTCACGTCACGCCAGACCCCCCCCCCCCAATCTAGTAAATGCTAGAGCACTCCCGAAGGAACGGGATAGTTCTAGAAAGCAGGTGGCGTAACACTAGTCACAAGACCTCGTTGACGCAACAATATATATATTTGTCTTGTTTTGTATTTGAGTAGTACTCCTTAACTCACATTATAATCCATTATTTTAGACCACCCAGTGGCTCAGAATTAAACATGAAATATTATAATGCTAATTATTGAAGTTCGATACCCGCAGATGGACCATTTGTAATTTATTTAGTGTATTTCTCATGGTTAAATTTAGCTTTAAACGTCATTTTAATAGGAAGTTTTGTAGCTAAACGATGGATAGTTTTGCAGTCATAATATAATTTATTATCGTTAAATGCCCTTCAGTGGCACAGAGGTATATCTGCGGACTTTCAACTCTAGAAACCGGGTTTCGATACCCGTAGTGGGCAGTGCACAGATAGCCCGTTTTGTAGTTTTGTGCTTAATTAGAAACAAACAAACAACCAACCTATCGTGAAATATTAAACACCAAATTAAAATATAATATTCTTTACAGTTTTATTTTAAATTGTAATAAAAGTTTAGATAAACGACCTTTACACTTCAGATGAAAATATTTTTGTTTTTTTATTACTACCAACGTTTCGCTTTCACAGCTTCTTCAGGGTTAATGCATACAAACTGTTTGATATTGAAGTACACGTTAATTTTTTAATTATTAATAACGCGAAAGGTGTCGCGCTTGTCTGTGAGAAGTGTTCTGAAACTTGAGTTAGTCACACAAGCAAGTATAGTTGATTAACGCATTGTTATAGAAACGAAACGTACCGGCGGTAATTGGTTTTTGTTTACGATAAAATATTTCTAATTTAAAGGATGAAAATAGAAGAAGTCAGAAGTACTACAAAAGCACAAAGAATAGCAGCTCACAGCCATGTAAAAGGCCTTGGGCTTGACGAAAGTGGAATCGCAATTCAAGTAGCGGCAGGACTTGTTGGACAGGAGCAAGCACGTGAAGTAGGCCTATTTTCATTTTATTTATAATAATATCATTAAGGTTAGTAGCCTATACTGTACTGTTGGCTTCTCGAGGTTATACCAACTAAAACAAATTATAAAATATAATCATTAAATTAAAAATATTTCGTAAGCCAGCGCTTATTTAACTTTTTTTTTTTTGTTATCAAACCTTTCCTTAACTCCTTTAAGTTAAATTGTTAAAATCTTTTGCCAGGAGAAAACAATTTCACATATTTTCACTTGTACGTGTATAACAGGTATCATCTTGTTAGTAATACCTATCTAGTTACCTGTAAAATAATAATATAACTTTTTTCGACTTAAATTCAACATTTCTGTAAATACAACTCAAAATCCTATTTGTCTTAGTACTAGTAATAATAATGCTACCAGTATAATCTAAGTATTTTCAAAAGGTGGACATTTTTTCTTCAGGGACAAACAGGAAATATCCTTATAACACAAAGTGTGAGATAAAAAGTTTGAGTGATGTCATATAGGCCACTATGGAAATACAGAAGTGTTATGAGTAGCTTTCAGTGTATTAAGTGTACCCCATTTCTGGTGGAATCTTACCAAAAACAGGAACATAATGTTTAAAGAAGTTAGAGATGTATTGTTTTTAAAAAGTAAAATGGACAAGAGAAACTACACTGAGTATTTATAAAGTAAAAAAAAAGGTTAGTTAAAAATTAAATGTTAAACAGATATAATTAAAAAGGTAACATGGAAAATTATCATAGCTAAATAATATGTATTAGAAAGATTAGGGATAAAAAGTGATAATTCACACTGCATGGACAAAAAACTTTTATTTTTATGATAGAGAACAAACTGATGATTGGACATGACTGATTCAGGATCTTGATTTATTCTACAAGGTTGAATAGTATTTAGAGTTGCAATACAAAGGGGTTCTATTATTTGTTTATTGGCTTTAGTTTTGAAATCAGTTTCTATATGGGTAAGAGTCGCATGCAGTGTGAATTCTCAATAAATATTTTATTTTGGATTATAAATAATAAATCTTAAATGGTTTGCTGGGAAAGCATATAATTTGTAAGTTTAATGTAAAAATCAAAACTGAAAATGTATTACCATTTAATATATTTGCACATAATCAATATGGCACTGCTCAGTAATACTAATATAGTATCCTACAAGTCATGCAGGCTTCTTTGAAAGAAATCAGAGCAAATTGAGAATGCAACTAGAAGATAATTTAAGTTCAAATAAATACAAATCAATAACTTTGGGCTGAAATTAGTATTCCATGTATTTTCTGGAACTCGTATTGGCAAAAGTGTTATGAAGTAAAAATTCTGTGATTTGTTGAGAGTGCAACAATGATAGTTTGTATGCCTTATTATAATAAAAATATTTATGATCACCAACACAAAATATTAGTGTACTAGAGTTATTAAAATATTTTGATCATATTACTAATAAACATTTATTTTTAATTTTATTAATCTAAACAATGATTCAGTATAAAGGTTAATGAAATCAGATGTTGTTTTTATTTTTGTGTTATAATTTTTATTTTTTACTTCCTTTCAGTTGAAATATAGATGTTAATAAGCAGATTAATGCAGTTTGCCATATGTTTAAAATGCTCTTCAGTATAATTAAGACCAACCCTTAGATTGTGAGAGTATGTAGAATTAATTATTATTGTAAGCTATATTTTCAATGTTGTAATTTAATTGTTTGCTTGGGGGGCCTGATAATGTTGATGTTGTAATCTAGAAATTGTATGGAATTTTTACAAATGGGAGTGTATTATAAACACTAGTGATCAGTGTAGGACGACTCAATGAGAATATATTGTGTCTGTTAAGTTGCTTTATTAGCAAGGATATTTTGTAAGTAAGTTTATATGTAAATTAGCATATCATTAGTCTTGAAATTTCTGCTCAATTGTTGTTGGGAACTTAGGCTTACAACTTGTGTTAAAGTGAACATAGCCTGTATCAAACTTTGTAGAAGAAACAAACTTCTAGTTCTTCATTATCAAAATAGAAATTTTTCATAATTAAATACTTTATTTGTTACTGTACAATGTAAAAATATTAATAGTGGTAACTGAAAACAGATTGCAGACTTGTTAATAAACCATACATTGTAGCTTTTTATCTCGTGATAATGTTTTCATTGTGCTTTTTCTTAAAAAAATATTGTTCAATTCCTATTGATTAGAAGTTGATTGTGGAATTTTTCTAAATTTGAAATTTAAAATACTGGAAGACTTCTGAATATCTTTGAACTTGGCACTGTAAATGCTAGCTTTTGCTTTGTTTTCATGACTTATCATTTCAGAAGTCTTTCATAATTGGTTACTCAGTTACTGTTAATTTCTATTTTTCTCTGTTTTTAGGCTGCTGGAATTGTGGTTGAACTGATTAAAACAAAAAAAATGTCAGGCCGTGCTGTTCTTTTGGCTGGACCACCTGGCACAGGAAAAGTAAAAATATTTATATCATGATTTTTTTATTATCACTAAACATTTGAATTTACATGTGTTAGTATGTGTTTTGTTTGTTTTCTCATGCTTTATTTGGAGTAGCCTTAAGAAATTCCTCAGTTAAACAGTATACTGTACATATATGAACTGTTAGAATTCTTTTGCACATAATTAGCAAATTAGTAAGTATAATGTAGGCTTAACTTGCACAAAGTCTGCTTGCATTTGTTAAAACAATGACTCGTTTTAGTGATTCATTTACATAGAAGTTTCCAACATTAGTTATGAAGAGGCTGAGCAGAAATTAAAACAATATCCTTGAAAACAGTTTAATTATATGAGGAGTTTACAGAAAATTAACATTGTACTTTTGTCTTCAGACATTTCATAGTTTTTATTTAAATATTATTTTTCAGTTACTGGATATTGTTTTACTTTAGTACATACTTGTATGCCATTGCTTCATGAAAGAAGAAAATATCACACCTCTCATGCATTAAGGTCATAAACTGGAAATATCAAGCATATTAGTCTTAAACAGGAAAATATCAGATTTGAAGTTTAAAGTAATTAACATATTACCTGAATAATAGTCTTATAAAATACTCCTTATGTTTTTAATTATAGACAGCTGTAGCCCTTGCAATAGCACAAGAACTTGGTAACAAAGTCCCATTCTGTCCAATGGTAGGCAGTGAAGTGTACTCATCAGAGGTGAAAAAAACAGAGGTACTAATGGAAAACTTTAGACGAGCTATTGGTAAGTGTCTGAATAAAGATTCAATGCCATCACTTCTAATATATTATTATCTTTCTAGATCTTGAAACTTGATGTTAAAGAACATTTAGTTTTTGGGCATGTCTCTTCCTGATTTTCATTGCTACTGGAAATGATACAGCTGACTTAAGATGGGTTACCTAAATAGAAAAAAATAAACATCCATAATTTCAGTAGTATAAACAAAAAATCTATTCTTATATATCAAAAGTTTTATGAGATAAGTTTAACTAAAAGAAGCTTGAAATTTTACTATTTTTACAAATTTAATTTTTGCTCATTATATGAATTTTCCTCTTGTATGAAATAGCTCATTCAGTATTACGTTTTTTTTTTTAATTTATACAAAATTAAATGATTTGTATAAGTTGTACATGTTTCTGCTCTGTCATTGAGAATGTCTATAAGTTAAGCAATGTCAACATTTGTAGATTGAGTTATATTTGTATTGTACTGTTCTTTATGCCTTAGTTAACACATGATTGTAAACTATCATTATGATAGTTATGATATTATGTTGCTCAGTTCTTTTATTTGTTTTTTATGGTTTTAATCAGAATAATTTTTGTTTCGTTCATGCGTTAGATATTTTGTGCTAAGTCTGTAACTTTTCAAGGCTCACATTTGTTTTTAAACTTAGCTATATTTTTCCATGAATAACATTTTCATCCCAATTGTTAGTGACATATCAACTTTTTTATAGGGCAATATGATTACTTGGTTAACCAATTATGGTTCTATTCAAGGATGTAGTTGGTTCAAATTTTTCTAATCACTGCTTGAAGCTGTTTCCAACATGAAATTATTACTCTTGCTGTAAAACTTGTGTATACTATGTTTATAAACTCTCTTAAGTCTTTACAAACTGTACTTGCTTGAACCAGGTTTCCTGATTATTGATCAATCACAGACAATGTATCAGTTTTTCATTTTCACAAGTCATGTGTGGTTGATCAGTTGTCAAGTGTACACTTACAAGTGCTAGTAATGGACTAGTGAAGGTTAGAATTAGGTGATTTACAGCACATAAGGAAATACATAAACAGAGCACGTACAAGTATTTGCTTCCTGTCTGATTCTAATCACGTGAGCTGAGATAGTAATCTAAGGATTCTTTAAATAATCTATCTGTCTTTTATTGCAAAATTGAATAAACAAACCTAAACACAAAGGAAGTTAATTAATCCTGTGATCTGTGTCAGCTCCACAATGTGACATTGACAATTCTTAAACTTCACAGACTGAAGTCAAACCATTTAATCTATTTTGAATCAGTCTAAGCTTGACAAATAGTTACTTAGAGAAATTACAAACCGTGACAATCTTACTTTTTTATGTAGTAATATTGTTATAATATTAACCATGTTCATCACTTAAATATAAACATTTGAATGATTGAACATCTACATCTTTAATCACTTCAGTTATGCATGCCAGACCTGTTAGATTTTGATACCTCATCACCAAGCTGATAGATTCTGAATTGATCTCATTAAAGTAGTTAAGTGAGAATTTTGTGGTAAAAAAAAAATCACATTTTAATTTGCAAGTTTTTTTTTTAATGTCATCAAGCAGAATTTTACAAAATTAAAATTTTCAACATTAGCAATGTATAGAATAAGCAGTTTTTTTAAACTTATTTGGTTTATATTTTGATGATTTCCAAAGGCTTGAGAATAAAAGAAACTAAGGAAGTTTATGAAGGGGAAGTTACGGAATTAACACCATGTGAAACAGAAAATCCTATGGGAGGTAGGTCAAACATTTTAAAATAAAGTGATGCAATCATATAAGAAATATTTATCTGTAGTTTTTTTTTTGTCTTTATCATAAATAAAGTTTTTCAAGCAATGATTTGATGTGAACTGAGAAAGAAATTACTTAACCTGAAAGTGAATGTCTTAGATGTATCAGAATAGTTCGATTAAGTAAGTTTCATGTTGTGGTTAATGATTTATTCAGCTTAGTGCAGCAGCCTTAACTTAAATATCTGAGTGTGTTGATCCAATATTATTGTAGAACTTTCCAACAAAGTTTTGTATTTTATTAAAAATATATTTGCCTAGTTTTATTGTATTTAAAATCACTACGTTCAATAAAACTAACTTTTTTTTACCATACCAAAATTATAAGCAAGCCAACTTTTTAAAAATGTTTTAATTAGAACGTTTTATTTAACCATTTCCATGCCTGGGTGTCTGTGTGTTGTTGACATCCCTTCTCACAGTAGACATACTTAACCAAATTACATTAAACTTACAACAAACTTCTCAACTAGTAATTAATTTCTACTTAAAAATTGTATAATTTGATTTACCTTTATATTTTTTTATGTTGTGATATTTCCAAAATTTGGCTCATAAATACTTTTAAAAAGACATTAAAAATACTTTCTTTCATCTTAAATTTGTTTTTGTTGTTGATCAGAATATTACAATTTATATATACAATCAGTTCAATTTGATTGATATTCAGTTACATATTTCTTTTGGTATTTCATTTTCCTGATTGCAGTAGTTACACCTTCTGGTTATAAATCATAAAAAAATATACAGTGAAAACTGACAAAGATTTAGCTTTGACCTACATATATGACCTGATCCATCAGAACAGTATCAGGTCAGGCTAGATAGCAGTTTTCTTGGTCTAGAGATCAATTTACATTTAACAAAGATAGATTATTTTCAATAAATAAGAAGTTCTATTTCCTATGTACATTGTTTGAATACAATGGTATAGGTATACTTGCTATGTTGCAACATTTTATAATGCGAATTTAGAGTTCTGCGATTTATTTTTAGCATTACAAGTGCTATAATGAGCTACATGATTTGGCATTATGCAGATTTTAAATACAAAACAGATATAAAAAATATAAAAAGAAGTGAAACAAATATGCAATTACCAATCCTGTGAGAAGTTTTATGTAGACAAAACTGGAAGAAGCAGTCATATAAGTATTTGCTGACCAGTTTTTTCCTGGCAGGAGACAACGTCAGACTGATGAGGATGCATGAATTTGTCGAAACTAATTTCTCTGATTTTAGACTTCTGACAGTTTGTTCTGTTTGCTGTGGTTTTTTTCACTAATTTCTACACACGATATTATATTATTTGTCTTCAAATTAAACGTCTTGCTGGTAATATTTGTTTCTTTACATTGATACAAATCAATATATGTTGTAAAAGTGGTTTATACCATTAATAAAATTGACTTTAAGTGGAAAATAATTTTACAAGAAATGCATCCCTGACTTGTAACATTGTTCCTATGGGAAAAACTGCATATTATAACTCAGGTTTGTATAATGTGCCATTTTTTAGGAATGCATTCCACGTGTTATAGTAGGTATACCTGTATTCAATAAGTAACTATTAGTCATCTGAATATTTTGCCATCAGATAAGGTACTCTGTAAACCTAACTTAGCTTAACTAATGTGTTGGCATTTAAGAAAATTTACATTTCTGGAATGAAAATAATGTCTAAAGAAACTATGAAATAATTCTTAGTATTTCTTTTTTTCCTAAGTCTTCTAACTTTCCACTAAATTCCATTATTTTTGTCTGTATGACCTATTTCTTATCAGTCATGGAACCACAAATTATTACTCAAGCCACTTTATTAATTATAGATTTATGTAAATAGCTTATAATCTGCTCTGCCCAATGTTATTTTAACTTTGTCTGTAGCTATTTTGAAAGCTGAGTTTCATTAGTAGTTATTCATGCACTTGCTTAAAAGTCATAAAAGGGTGAAAACCAAGAGGCTGTACTAATAACAGTTAGAGAAAGAGAAGGAAGATCATGTGAGAAACAAAGGATTGATGTTTATCTTCCAAAGGGATGATATTTTAAAAGCAAATATGAAGCTATGCTTTGGGATGGGAAGAAAAAGTCTAAGAAATAAAATTATTAGTGCATTGATTATAGATGAGTCTCCTCCAAACTGAGGACAAACATGAGCTTAAACTTTCCTTTTTTTCTTTGTGAATGACATAAATTAAATAACATGATGAAACATCAGTAGTAAAAACTGTTGAAATAGAATAAAACTTACTATTTTACTTAATTTTTGAAGCTTGTTACGCATTTGTGCAAGCAATATGAAGGTGCTGGAAAGTCTGAAATGGGAGATATGTAATCAGTTTTAAACCCATTTGATGTTAATTTATATATATATATATATATATTTACATTTATCATAGGTAATTTTCTATGTCCATTCAAGCAGTTACTTAAGCTGATAAGGCTTAATATAAATATAGTTTAACGATCAGTTGTCATGTTGGCGAAACAAAACTTGATACTGTTGAGTGCAAAACATCTAACTAAGACTACCTCATCATGTTACACAAAGAACTTATATTCTTATGTTTCAACATAGTAACTCAAATAAAGTATAAAATGATAAAGCTAGCTTTTTACAAACTTTAAAAAAATCATGACTGTAATTGTAGTAAAAGTTGTTTGCAAGGGCTTTTTCTTATAACAACGTATCACCAAGATATACTTTTATCACTTTTTCCCAATCTCTACTTGATTCTCTGCTGAACTGGAAGCCATATTGACTTAAACAGTTGAAAAGAACAGAGACAAAGTTTTCACTAGCCTGTGACTTCTCAAAGCTGAGATAGATGCACTTACATTACACTATGACAGTCTGAGTTTGAGAAACATTGATTGGCTAAAAATTGATAAATGTAGAGTTGTATTGAAGTTACAAGGTTCTGATTGGCTCTATTTTGTTCAAAACTATATAGATTTTTCCCATAGGGGACTACAAGTGCTATAATATTAACAGAAAAATCAAAAATTAATGTTTTCATACAGAGCATGCTGAAATCAATCCACAATCATAACTAATGATTTTGTAACATCTTTATGTATAAAATGAAAGAGCTGAAAATTTAAAATGTATGGAAGAATAAGTAGAAATTTATTACAATAATTCATTTAATTTGATGGTGCAGTTTGTTCCCTGGAGCAGGGTGGACTCAACCAAGCACCATAGAATTGACTCAAGTGTGAAGAGTTTGTAGATAATAATTTGGACTGCTAAAACAGATAGTGTTAGCTCAGAATTCAGACTTTAGTCTGTAGATTACCAGAGTAGGTAAAAGCTTGTTAACACATTCACTGCCACTGGACATGTATGTGCATCCAAGTGTATGTTAGCCAGTGTGTCAATTAAATCATTGAGGCAAATGCATTTTATTGGAGCAGGCATTCGTTAGCAGTCAGATCTGCCATGACAGCACATGGGGGAGGATTTTCTCTCCTAGAAATTTTTCTTGGTTATATATTTTATTTTATGTATATTTTCTGGTTGGCTTTTATAAAATGGATAATAAGAGTGTTCCTTCTGAGCCCTTTTAAGAAACAAATAATGACTAAAAAATTAGTTTAACAAAAACATTTTTCATTTTATTTGCTATTTTATACTTGATGTTCATCAGAAAATATCATTAATGAATGTAATATTATTATAACTATAATTTACTCTTCTTGCACATTCAATAAATACCCCAAAACCATGATTATATATATATATATATATATATATGTATATAAAATAGATGAAGCACATGTATGTCATGATACAGATTTTAGATGAATAGGCATATATGCCTATAAATATTCTTATTTGATATTATTCTGCATTATTAAAATGCTCTTAATGAAAAAAACAACAATTGCTTGTGGAATAGGTGTTGATCTCTGAGGTAGCAATGAATAAATTAAACTATTCAAAATAGTAGCAAATTTGTTGCACAATGATGGGGTTTTTTCAGTATCTTATCATACCTTGTCTTTGAATATTTATACAACAATGTAAGTAACAGTGTAACAAAAATTAAACAGTTAACTATGGTGTAGGTCAGTTCAGAGTTTATGTTAAGTCGCATGTTCATGTTATGAAAGGTTAAATTGAAAAGTACTTGTGGCAATGATCAGACCATCCAGTGAATCTGAAAAATGTTATTGTTGATATCACTCCACAACTTATCAGTAAGCCTTTGTTTATACTAATGAATTATTAATTAGAAGAATTAACCCTATCACTACAATAGGTCAAAATGCAAAATACCCATGTCACAACCTTTTACAGAGTTACTTTCAAAATTTAATTAAACTAATTTATTATCACTGTATATAAATACACTTGTCATCAAAACGTAGTTAGTAGATCAAGTTTTAATATTATATAAGTTTGAAGTTCCTAATTTTATAAGGAAATATTTTTAAAAAGTCCTATTTCTTCCCTATTATTAGAATTGACAATTGTTCTCTAGGTCTTCCTCCTCCTCTAATTTATTTATTACCCCTCTAAGAAGTATTAAGTTTATCATAAATTACTTATAATAATGTGGATATTACTAAGGCAAAGTATATTTTTATAGCTTTCATTATTTATTTATGGAGTCATAAACTAGAAAATCAAACCCACTTACTATGCCCATCTGTTGCATCTTTCTCATATTGCCAATATTTCTGTGACATTTTATACTATCATTTATAAACAATAGAAAGTTTTAATGTATCAAGTAACATATTATTTTGCATTGTGTTCAATACAGAGTATTGTCTCTTTCATCTTTAGTTTGAAAGTTTCTGTTTTGGTGTTGAGATCAAGAAGCTTTGAAAGTAATTTTGTGGCTCTTATACAGTAGGTAGAAAAACCAATTAAATTATAATTATAGAACTATGTTTGTTTTGTATGTGTTGTTATTCTGTGTTCTTAAGTGCATTATTTAAGTAAATAAAAATTATTTGGTGTACTAGTACCATCATTATAAAAAATATAGGATTAAATTTCATTGGCAGCCAACAGCAAAAACAAAGTCTAAGTTAAGTACAATATTTCTTGTTTTTCATGTATATTTTTATAAAAGTAACTAAAATATAAAAATTAGGAACTTATTAGGTTAAATAAGGTTAGGTAAGATAATGAATAATAATAATTCTTCACCAGGTATGCTCGCAAGTATCTTGTGTGTTATGTCATTCAATGCCCTAATTTGAGCTACATGTTCACTGAGTGATTTACAACTTCTGTGGCAGGATTATTAGTTAAACATGTTTCAAAGGGCAATTAAACAATGAAATTAAGTATAAACAGATGTAGACTATTAAAAGCTTTAAGTTATTTAGGATAAACAGATGTAGTTTCCTTTTACAATATGCAGTCATTCTAGAAAGAAAAAACAGTAATTTAGATTTATTTCATATTTTTTATGGTGCATACAAGGTCAGTCAAATTACTCAGTATAGAGTTAGGGTAGAGAAAATAACAAATGAAATATAAAGATTTTGTGAAAACAACGTTGGGTATTAATTAAGGGATTTTAAAGGTTGTGCAAATGAAATTTGAAAATTGTGAGATAAAGAAAAGTATTTTTAATTTTAACATAAAAAATCATGTTACGTGGAACATTCAATACTTTGACTCCATATATTCACAAACAAATCTTTAGTAGTAAACATACTTAAATAAAAGATCTGTCTTTTTGTGTACCAAAGACTTGTAATGTTTACTAAAAGCTTACTAACTTTTGGGAAACATATAAAAAGTTATTGTATGGAAACTTATGATTACTTTGTGTTACAAAATCGGTCACATATCAAAAGTTATTGTATGGAAACTTATGATTACTTTGTGTTACAAATCGGTCACATATCAAAAGTTATTGTATGGAAACTTATGATTACTTTGTGTTACAAAATCGGTCACATATCAAAAGTTATTGTATGGAAACTTATGATTACTTTGTGTTACAAAATCGGTCACATATCAAAAGTTATTGTATGGAAACTTATGATTACTTTGTGTTACAAAATCGGTCATATATTAAAAGTTATTGTATGGAAACTTATGATTACCTTGTGTTACAAGGTCGTTCACATCAGATGACCTCGTATGGAAAGAGTTAACCTGTTTTTTTATGAAATTTCATGAACTTGGAGACTCCTGTGTTTCAATGTAATACTTTCAAATTGAGCACTATTTTATAAGAGTTCCCATTGTCTATGAACTTGTACATTTTTAACAAAATCTTTACAGATCTCTATCTTTTTTTGAGTGGGTGAGTATATAATTTGTGTAGATTATATTACACAAGTCTAATGGATGATATCTTAATGTACCAACCTGAATACATTGATGTAGAATATTAGCAAGTAATAACAAAATCCTTCACTGAAGGTTACACGAAGAAACTTCAATGATCTTTACTAATAGTATGAATTGACTAAAGTTAATTTATTTTTATGATTTGACTATTGTAATGGTATATAATATTTCATCTCTTTTTTCCAAGTCATTCTGTCTTTACAATCTTTCTAGGTGATGAACAGGATATTAATAATGAAGTGTGTGGACTTTTGAATTACATAAGATGAGGATGGGAATTCCTAGCCTGTTACATGCAAATTTCTAGTTTTTCAGACTTTTTTTTTTTGACAAATACACTAAGCTGGATGTACATCCTTATGATTTAGTAGAAACCTACATGTATGCCTCTATAATGTAAGCAAAAGGCAGCATATCTTTATATTTTATATTGTGGATTCTTAAACTCTATAGCTGTGTTTGTGAGCACCATGATGTACACTTGTGTTTGTGTAAAATGGAATTACCCTTGATCCAAAGTGTTTAGAATTGCATTGAATATTTCATTATTGAAAATGTGAAACATAACCCAATTTCATTTTAAAGTATAGAATGCAAGCAATTTTCATTCATTTATGTACAATAGTCATTGTTCCAAATTTAGCAGTTACACCTTTTAAAATTGTAGTTATTTTCTATGGTAAAATTGTTTAGTTACATTGTCTAGCCTGTTATGTATATCCATCTAAATATTGCGCATGCCAAATAACGTAGTTCCTGTCACCGTACTGTCAGAATTTGAAATATAATCTTTTCTGCTAGTTGTCA